CCCACCCATCCATCCACTCACCCTTCCATCCTTTTTATCCATCCATCCATCCATCCATCCACTTACCCATCCATCCTTCTACCCACCCACCCATCCATCCATCCATCATCCATCTGTCCACCCACTCATCTACCCACTCATCCATCCATCCTTCTAGCCATCATCCATCCATCCATCCATCCAGTTTTCCTTCTTCTTCCTCTCCGCTCCCTCCTACCCAGAGGCACTTTCTGAGAGTCAGGTCCCTGCAGGTACAGGGAGAACCTGTGGTCTTCTCCAGCCCTTCCTAGGGAGTTCAGTGTTGGGATGCAGCCCCTGGAAGGAGCCCTGAGTGTCAGGAGGCCGACCCACAGTTCTTGAGGTTGACCTAGTCCTGAGTTCCTAAGTCCCAGCAGCACCCACAGTCACCTCCGCCGGGGTAGGGGGACTGCCACCTTAGGGAGCCTTGGGGGGCAGGTTGGGTATGTCCCTCTCGCGCCATTAGGGAGCAGGCCCTCTGCAGAGTTGGCGGGTTGTTTGCTTGAATATAGCATGTACACAATAAAACACGGTAATTTTTAGTTGTACAAGCCCCCAATAAAATGATTTAAATAATAATAATTTTTTTAAAGCAACAAACAAGGCTATTTTTTTAAAGGAAAAAGAAAGCCCAGTCTTCGTCCCACGGAGCCGCTGGTGGTTTTGAACTGCTAGCCATGCGGTGGCAGCCCGACAGAATGAGCTCAGCGGCGGTGTTAGGGTGTAGGCTTTGTCTGGGCGGGGGGCAGGATCTCCCATGAAGGGTGTGAGGATGAAAGTGGGAAATATCGGGAGAAAGGCCCCAGAGCCTCAAGGCCCCGGAGCCTCAAGGCCCCGGAGTGAGCCCAGGCTGCTGGGGAACACGCTGCCCTGCCCAGGTGGAAGCAGTGTCTACCATCATTGCTTCCAGCTGGGACACAGGGAGAGCTGCCCACCTGGTGACCCTTGAACCCAAGAGCCAATTTCCTGGACGCCCCTCCCCAAACCGGGGCCTGGGGCTTCCTTTGCCTACAAGCCCTGCAGGAGACCAGGCCCCTGTGTCTGAAAGGAGGACAGAGAGAGGCCAGTCATACAGGAAGCGGAAGGCAGGTGTCATGCCAGAAGCATCTACAAGCCGGGGCACCAGCACCGAGAGACAGGAAGGGGTCCCCAGCCTGGAGGGAGCCTGTGCTCAGACCCCGCCCCCAGAACACCTCCTTTCTCTCAGCCAATGGCGCAGCCCAGGGGTGGGGCTTCCTTCTGTGGACTGAGCAACCCCCAGGGGCCACACACCCACCACCCAGACTCAGGAGCTGTGCCTTGGGAGAAGCCCTCCACAGGGTCCCCAGGGAGCAGAGGCCTTGGGCCAGGACCCCCACACACACACACACACACACCCGGATTAGCTACATAAAAGGGGCGCTGGCACTGTGCGACTCCGACTGGGCCTCTCGGGAGCCCCCTGCCCCCTTGGGGGTTTCTCTGTTTCCCAGCAATCACATGGAACAGCAAACAGGAAGTGGCTGGTTTGGCGACTCCGGCTAGCCACAGCTTGGGAGGCACCCACAGGGACCGGCCTGCTCCTCCCACAGCAGCCCTGGGGACCCTGGGCCAGGCCCTGGGCAGTCACCCATCCTGCCCATCTCTGCTCTGGGCCAAGGGCCTCTGTGGACACAGTCCACCTGCTTCTCACAGCCCTATGCCCAGGTGTCCATGGGGACAAGTGGCCATGGCGCTGTGTCCATTGCAGCAGGGGTACCTCGGGGTCATTGGGCGAGAAAGAGGTCTTTGAGCTCTGTCTGTAGACAGCCTCGTCCTTTAGGTCTGGCATGGAAGCTTCCAGAAGCCGCTGTGGGGCTTCCAAGAGGAAGCTGTGGGCCTGGATGTTAGGGGCACCCGCTCCCCTCAGTGGACTATCCTGAATCACTGGGCAGACCCCAGATGGGCTGGAGTATGTAAGGGGCAGCGCTGCAACCCACTGTGTGGGGAAGAAGCTTTGGGCCGTAGGGGCCAAGGCACTCACCAGGAGGTGGGCAGTGCTGCTCACAGCAGCCCAGTTAACCTTACATCCCTACGTCCCACACCCCACGCAGCAGCTACAGTTTGCACAGGGGCCCCCTCTTCCTGAGCACAGCTCCCACCCGACTGCTGCCCTGGGTCCCAGGACTCTGACCCGCTGGCAAAGTGCCCTCCCAGGGACCCCACAGGATGGGGGGAGGGGGTATGGGGGGGAGGGGGCTTTTCAGGGCCCTGCCCTACCCCTGGACACTGAGCTCTCCCCAGGACCTTGGGCAGGGCTGAGGGCTCAGGGGGCCCAGGAGGCTGAGGTCAGTGCCTGGCACCCAGCCCCCTGGGAGGTGCACTGGCCCTGGGAGTCCCTCCGAGGTGGACGGGAAAGGGATGTGGGGCAGGATCAGCCAGGCAGGAGGTGAGGCTGAGACTGGTGATGAAATCAAGTCTCAGAAATAGCACTGGGTGACTCAAGTGGAGCCAGCCTGGCCACGCCCCCACCTTGGGATGGGCGGCTCCGCCCTCGTCCCAGGGCCCCTCCTTCCCCAGGCTCAGCCTTCCTGCTGAGATGGGGGCCCCCCCAGGGCCAGGCGAGGCTGGGTGGGGCTGGCCAGTGACCTAAACCACAGGCAGCTCCCCCAGGGTCCCAGTGAGATTTCCAGCCAAGCACTTAGCACTCAGGGTAGGGGGTGGGTGTGTTATCAGTGATGCCAAACAAGCAATGCAAAGGTAGGTCCTTGTTGGCATCTGGACAAACCTCACCCTCCTCCCTGCACTCAGCCTCAGGGCCCAAGGACAATTGGCTAATCTCAGCCACGAAATCTCCCTCCCTCCCTCCCAATCATTACCCACCCACTCACCCACCCATCCATGCATTCATCCATGCATCCATCCATCCACCCACCCACTCATCCATCCACCCA